ATATATATATATATATGCTGTGCTACCGTTCGGGGTGACCTGACGTCCTATTCTCCCCAAGGCGGCCAGGAGAGAAGAAAGGTGTGGGAAGGAAAAAAATAAAAAAATAACGGAAGACTTGAGAAAAAAAAGGCAGCAAGGCAAAGGCGAAAGGGAGGTCTCAACTTCCAAATTCACGAGCTTCCTATAGCCGGATCCCCTTCTTTTTGCTCTACTTGCCTTCTTCTCGGTCTCTTCTCAGCTTCTCTGCTCCTTTTAATTTGAGAGAGAGAGAGAGAGAGAGAGAGCGAGAGAGGAGAGAATGGAAACGGGATCAGCTGGCGGAGGAGAAGGGCAGATAAAGGGAGTTCTCACCCATGGCGGTCGCTACGTGCAGTACAATGTCTACGGGAACCTCTTTGAGGTTTCTACTAAATACGTGCCTCCGATTCGGCCTATAGGCCGAGGTGCTTACGGCATCGTTTGGTGAGTCGTAGTTGAGAACCCTTTCTCTCTTTCAGTAGTGGCGACTGTGATTTTGTGTCAGTGGGAATTGCGATTTCATGGTCTGACTTATCTACCAGGAATGAGACGATTGCATATCCAATGCGTTTTAACTAATTATCCCCCATTGATGATCTCCTTGTTGACTTCTGGGAACTGATTTAACCTATTAATTAAAAGTCACTTCTTTCCTTTATGTCTTGAATTTTACTTTTATCTTTTTTTCACTTTGTTTTCTAATTATCGGCGCAGTATTTTTTGGGGCAATATCTGAATGGTTGTGGTTACCCTGCCCGTTGGATTCCATGGTCATAACTGCATCGGTTTTCTTGTTCAATTTGACATTGGTGCTTATAGTTTGTTTTATTTGGAGGGAAGAAGAACTAATGCATCATGAAATAGACAATATTTTGTAAGATATTAAAACTGAGAGCGGCTAGATAATATTTATCAAATGTTTCATTACTCTTTTGTGATAAGTAATCACAGTTGCCCGGCCTGTTTGTTAACTATAGTGTAGGCAATTTTTCAAGGGATGGTTTGCAACATAATTATGAGGATCTCATATTGAAACCCTGATTCCTGACAACGAAGCATGGAAGTTGCTTTAATAATGCAGTTCTTTAATTTTTTTTTTTCAGAGAGCCTATTTTTAATTTTATTAATCTGCCATTCTTTCTATTAGTTTGGTAGGATACTTATTTAAGCCATTATTTGTTGACTCATTGAGTACTTTTATACGGTGAAATAGCTTTTTTTTGGTGAAATAGCTTTTTTTAGCTTGAATGCGGCGAGCCGTCCTTTGCATCAGCTTCCAGTTAATACTGTTATATTTGATTGGTGCGATACATATTAAATGTGGAATACACTACTCTTCTCTTAGGAGGTAAATGGCCATTCTCATTCAATTCTAACCACGGAGACAGTCTTGAATTCTTGTTTTAAGACTGGACTTCCTAGCATCGAAGCTTAGTAGAAAAAATAGAACAAATTAAAAGAAGTGGATTCAATCCAAACATCAGGAAATTCCTTTTTTTTTTCTATCCCCATCTCGCCCTAGAGATACTCCTATGTGTATCCCCGCTAACTAGCATAATACTAAAAGTAGAAAATCAATTAAAAAAAAAAATATTCCCCATTAGAAAGATGGTAATTTGTAGTTATGACATGAAGAAAAGGATGAAGTCGTTGATGGTTATCTGCTTCTCACGTTATGGTAACCCTTTCTTTTATCGTGCTCTGCATCATGTCTCCTTCGTTTCAAAAGAACACATATCGTGTTAAGTGTTCGCATCATATGGGGGATGATATGATAACCAATAGCAGAGGCATCAATATCCACATGGAAAGGTTTGTTAGAATTTGGGATGGCTAATGCGGGAGTTTCTTTGATAATTTAAAAGCTGTTTTGTTGTTTTTGTCCCCATTTGAGAACTTTGGCTTTTAAGCAATTTGTAATTGATGACATAATCACACTAAACACCTGGATAAATCTTTGATAAAAATTGGCGAGCTATTGAAAACGTTTGAGTTCAAACAAAGAAGTTGAGTTGTACCTTTTCCTTATATTGGTTAGTTTGGTTGGATGGATCTATATTAACTCCTTTAGTAAATATGTTAAAACCACAAAAAACAAACACTTAATGTTGCATATTTATATTTAGAAATGTTCAAATAAAGTTTTTTTTTTTTTTTGGTTCAAAGAGCTAGAAATATTTATAAATGTTGTAGATGGTCCCCGAGGGTAGAACTATAGAATAAAATATTGTCAAAATGCACCAACCAAAATAAATTTAAGAATGGTTTTAGTACCTCATTCATGAGGCTCATGAATTGCTCAGTGCATTGTACACATCGCATAATCCGAAGGGCATGTCCTTCCACTCATATAAGCCTTCACGAGTTTTAAATGCTTTCTTTCATTCATCACCGAGTCATATGTGAATTTGATAAGAACCACCAGGAAGGTTAAGTTTTTGAGAAAATGATAGCTCTAGATAGTTTGCATTATACATATTCTATGCCCGAGACTGGAAATTGATATTTAACGATAATTTTATTCATTGATCAGCTATCCATGCATATATGCCAATTGCCATCTTTTTTTGCACAAGCAAGAAAAGAATAACACATTGACCTGAGCTGTGCTGAATCAATTGTTTATGATCCATTTCTTGTAAAATTTGATGTTCCTTTAGACTCATAGCTAGGGAGGTTCAGTCTGGAACAGTCTGGAAGAACCAAAAGTGAGATCAATCTTATGTTGAACTGATCGCAATGGTGGTAATTGGTCAGATAATTTAGTGGGCTTATGTCCTGGAACTTCTTAAGTAGAAGGCTTACTTCTTGTGGAATAGTTGCAGCTGTTCCATAAGCATTACTTTCGGTAAATACTAGAGCAAAGAGAGCAAGGGATTCTCTAAAACCTTCGATAAGTGTAGAACCAGAGACTACATGTAAAGCATATCTGACATTATTTGCAATTGGAATTAATGGTGAGGGTAATAGTCGAGTTCTTTTGCGTTTTCATTCAAAAGAATTTGTTCGATCTGCATTTGTATAGTGCTCCCATATTGAATTGTCATGATTGACCCATGACAAGATACAAAATCCCAAATGAAGAACATCACATAGAACTCCACATATGAAATGTTTTTCAATAGTGAATATCACTTGACACATTTTAGAGACAAATATGTTGATTTTCTTTTTCATCCAACTTATCTTATAGGAGTGTGGGTATTCAGTATTAATTAGTACATCCATTATCAATTAGTAGTTCACATTCCTTTCCATTAATGTTGTACTTAATACAAAAATGGCATGTTTCTATGACTCAAGGGCTATCGATAGGCTATCAACAATTTCTCCAGAATACACATATCAAATTCACTTTTATCACCGCAAAATTTCCTTTTGTCTACTTTTATCTCTTTGTTCACATGGTCATCACTCATTTCACCCTCTAAGAGATGAACTTATTATTTAGTTGAATTGATCTGTGACAGATGTAAGCAACAAGAACATTTCAAGTTAGTCGATCTTGCAGAAGAATTTATTTTATATAGAGTTTTAATCGGTCCAATAGTCTTGCTCTAAATAGTTTGACTTAGATTGTTGGTAATCACACTTTGGGTTGGAGATCTTTTTTCTGCTATAATTGGCTTTTTGCTGGCTCCAGAGACCTTTATATTAAACTTTTGGTTTGAGCACGAGCATCCTCGAGTTGCTCTGTTAAGTTGATTTTTAGGCTTCAATGCAAAATTAACAACTCGAGATAAAGACAACACTAAATTTAGCTCCAATTTATCTTGAATAAGCTCTATCATTCCACCAATATATCTCACAACTGCTTATTTATAGTTTCATTTAAGTTGTTCCAGGAACTGAGACGATAAAATTCCTCGGCATATTCACACACAGTTCTGGAACCGGCAAGTAATATATTTCACTTTTTTCCCTTGAGCTATATTCAAATATTAAAAAATGTTTCAACAAATTATTTAATCAAGATAATCCTCAATGTGCAAATGTCCTTCAAAGAAAGGGTTGTCTACTTTAACTCGAAACTCTCTATATATGTTTCTGCTGTAGTCGTACCTTTTAATTGTTGTTTGTGCTCTAACTTCCTTATATAAATCAGATAACTCTTAGTGATGCCCGATATTATCCTTCTCTTCTAGATTCTGGGTAAGATGGAAATGATTTTCTTCCCGCATTAATTTCCTGAGGAGTTTGTGTGGGCGCTGTTCTCGCCTGTTTGATTGTTGGATTCATCGATATTCCCAATTCAAGGTTTTATAAATCTCATCTCATCTCCACAAAGAATCAGAAGAACTCATCAGAGAGTTTCTCAATTCGTTGCGTGTCGCTAGCTTGATCCTCCTGAGGGTTTTCATGTCATAATTTTCATCATTGCCCTGGTCGTTTGTTGGTTTCCTCCATGGCTTCCCAGTTGCTACAACTCTGATACCACTCTACCATAGAAGTTTGGTTGGAAAAACATAATAAATGAAAAGATGTGGATTCAATCCAATAACTAGGATTTTTTTGCCCCATCCCTCCCTAGATAATGCCCTATGCTTATTTTCTCTAATTAGCATAATACTAAAAATAGAAAATCAGATCAAAATAGAAAAATATTCTCCATCACAAAAGATGGTAATCTGAGGTTATGAAATGAAGAGACGGACGAAGTTGTTAATGGTTGTTTGCTCCTTGCGTTCTGATATCCCTCATTTTATCATTCTTTGCTTCATTTCCCGTCTTTTTTGGTATCATTAAAACTTGTAGCACACATTTTGGTGTAACTTTATAATCAATTGAACATGTATTGTGTCCATCAAATATCCATGATTAGATTAAGAAGTGTTTGAGAAGTAGGGGTGTGCATTATTTGGTTTAAACCGCAAAACCTAACCAAACCGAGTTAACTTGGTTGATTCGGTATGGTTTAAAAAAAAAAATTCCGTTTCGATTTTAAAAATGTTGAAGTTTTATTTTTGGTTTATGGTTCGGTTTTACTTCTTATTTTACCGAAAGAACTGAAAACTGTACAATTAATTTCTTTTTAGGCGTTGGATATGTAAATACATAAGGATTGGTTGGTATGCATGTAAGTATTTCTTCAAATATTTAGAAGCAAATTTTCTAGTGATCAATATTATATAATCCCTTAATAATTTTTATTCACTTAATAAATTTTATATTCTCTCGTTATCATCATATCCTTACACCTTCAAGCTATATTTCGGTTTATGTAAAACCGACCGTTTAAACCGAATTAAATTTTAGTTTGAATGGCTCGGTTTTATCAAAATTTTGTTTTGTTCGGTACTTTGGATTTTAGATTTCGGTTGAAATCGGTTTTACCCAATTTGAAAACCAAACCATCTGAATCGACCAAATGCTTACCCCTATTGAGGAGTGATTTTTGAATTTATTAGATCTTTCTTACAGTTTGAATTAAATGTGAGCATGTT